ATATATGTTACACTGGCTGCTGATCTGTTTCCAGACACAATTCAAAATGGTTGTTGTGGGTTTTTCGGGCTCTTTGGCCGTGTTCTGAAGGTTGTTCTTCCTGACGTTTCGTCAGTCTCTGTGGCCGGTGTCTTCAGAGGACAGCAACCTGTGCTCTGGAGCCTGAAAAACCCAGAACAACCATTAGATCCCGGCCGTGAAAGCCTTTGTGAATATATTGAACAATTCTAAATGTTGGTCTTAACCTATAAAGACCAAAACAGCTTGGGTCCAAGCTATTTAAAAGACTGCATCTCCCTCTATGAGCCTGCCTGGGCTTTAAGATCATCAGGGGAGGCCTTCCCCCTCAGTCCCACCACCCTCACATTTGCACTTAGTGGTAACATGGGAAAGGCGCTTCTCTGTCGCTGCTCCCAGACTCCGTAACTCCCTCCCATGGGAAGCCGGGCTGGCCCCATCCTTGCTTTTCTTCTGCAAGCGGGCAAAGACCTTTCTTTTCCGGCAGGCTTTCCCTTAGTGACTGGCAGTCTGAGAGGAGTTTTTAAATGAATGATAGTGCTCTGTTGTTTTAAATGTGTTTTAGTATTGATTTTATTATTGTTTTTATTGTAATACCTGTTTTATTCTTTTTCAGTATTTGTATACCTACTGTTTTTAGCTTTTACATACTGTTTTTTTTCATGATGCAAACCATTTTGGGTTCTTTTTAAAGAGAACATGAGATAAAAATGCTTTAACTAAATAAATAAAATAATAAATAAACAAACTGTTCTGGCTTTTAAAGGGTAGATTAGATGCGGTACATTCATTTATATCTCTCAAGCTGGACATATTCCTTTCCTTTTTTGTGTGTTTCTCTGCCGCCTTCACTTTAAAAGAAAAACAGTGGGCGTATAAATCATCCATGCTGCAAGAATCCCTCAAAAGTGCATGGTCTTCTTAGCACCACCCGGTGGAAGCGTGCTGTGGGTGGTAGACTAAGAAAACCTTCCTCGAGTACTTCAAGCTATACTTGACAGAAGCATACTAAGTTGTCAACACCCTGTTTGAAAATTAATTTTAAAAAAAATTAAGGGAATCAAATGACCACATGCCAGATGTAAAGGAAACGAATCAATTTAAACATACCTAATGGGATGTTGGTTGTACTGCTCAATGAAATATGTGGAACAAATATAGTAGTAGCCTCCCAGCAGGCGGGACTTGATACAGAGACAGCGTGGAAGGGGAACCAAAGAATCGGTAATGGCCATATGTTGTCTGAACCCCCAAAAAAGGTCATCATTCACAAGGATTCAGTCGGAAACATTTTGCTAATGAGACCGCAGCCTCAAACAGTGCTTTAATGCAATTGCACAAAATGGCAATAGCTGCTTTTTTGCTGCATAAATGTTGAAGAATTAGAAGCAGCCGTGGGGTTGTTAGCTTATTTTGAAACAAACAACAGTTGTTCTGGGCTTGCCATGTGTGTGCCATGATGCTGGTTTTGTGCAGAGATGGTTTGCACAAAGTACTGAGTCCTTGGCAAGAAAAAAATAGCACTGTTTCATTCCTCTCTCTCTCTCTCTCTCTCTCTCTCTCTCTCTCTCTCTACCTCCTGCAGTGTCCTTCCACCATTGGTGAGGAGAAACAGTACAATCCTTTCCTACGGACCCACTGTCAGGCAGTGCAAGATGCCATGGGCCTGCAACGCCAAAGGGATGAGGACTGGGACATTTTCCGAGCCCGAGTACTGAAGGCAGTGCGGCTACGGAAGGATGTCTACAAAGCCAATCAGTGACTGGGTTTAGTACCAGGCTGAAGCAGGGTCTGCTGCGTGCGAAGGCCAGGCCGGGCCTCTGCAAGGATGCGTCCAGTTGCAAGATGGCCTCTGACTGAGGAAAGATCTACTTGGATGCTGACCTCCTTTGGTGTGAAGCAGGTGGCAAAACAGAGGGTCAAGCCTGTTTACTGAGTGCCCCCCCCGCATTCCCAGAACATCTGATGGCTGGAGCTATTTATCCATATAATCTGAAAAGTTGGTCTGCTGCCTTTCCGTCTAAAGTGTCGTCATTCCATGGAGGATTCAGTGGAATTGTAGAAGATCTAGTGTGTGTCGGCTCCTCTGTGCCCTGTTGTTTTGGAATCCAGCTTATCTCAGGAGCAATAGGAGGGAGAGAAGATGGAAGAGCAAAGGGCAAAACATAAAGAGATGCTGATATCTGTGAATTTCATTTCTGAAGGCATAGGTTTGTTTTGGAGTATGCCTGCCCACCATTAGCTCAGGGGGATCTCCTGGATCGTTTTAATAGCACAACCGCAATATGTTGTCCAGAGATACTGTTCTGCAAAGGTGAAGCAGAGGTCCTGTTTCAGCTTCCGAATCTTGTCTGCCTTTGCCTTCCTCCTGAGTAGTTCAGCTACATCCAAGGAGAGAAGGACATGTCCTGTTGTTCTTCCTCTTCAGCCCATTCCTTCTGTTCAGACTTCTGTTAAACTGTACTTTTTCACAGTGTTATTGCATTCAAGCAGATTATTCTGGAAAGACAGATGATCAGCATCCAGCAGTTCTGCAACTGCCTTTTAAAAAGCACAAGCTCTTGTTGGGGTTCAGGCCTGTGGTGACTGTACGTCTCCCCAGGGAGCATCCAAGGAATGGAGCCACGGAATGCAGGCTTCCTCCTACCTCGGACAAGAAGTGGCCAGTCCTCAAGGGGTGGCTCTCTAGCAGATACATGATGTCCTTTTGCTGACATCCTGTGCAAGTGTCATGCTGGGGATACTGTTCAGTAACACTATGGGGATATTTCACTAACACTCAATCCATCTGGCCACTATTTGTGTGCAAAATGCATGCAACTTTTCTCCTTTACCTCCTAGTTCTGGCCAGATGGGCTATTATTTTTAAGTAGAAATGGAAGAATTGACTTCTTCTTCTTCTTTTTTTTTTTTTTGGAACAATTATTTTTAAGCAGAAAGCAGAAGAATTGACTTTTTTTTTTGGACTTCACTTACCAGAATATTCCAGATAGCATGACCACTGAAGTATTATGCTTCACTTCCCAGAATAGTCCAGATAGCATGACCACTGAAGTATTATGGGAGTTGTAGTCTGAACAGCAATATTTCTTATCTATGCTTAGGCCACACTGACAAAATTAAGTTTCTGTTCATTCAGGATAAATAGTATAGAGCAGCCTTCCTCAGACCTGTGCCCTCCATATTTATTGGGATTCCAACTCCCATCATCCGCAGCCAGCATGCTCAGTGGAAGGCGTGAGGCCGAGGAAGCCTGATACAGGGAATAACTCCATACAATTTAGTCTGCAACTTTTGTGTTGGGTCGGGTTGGGTTTCTCATTACCCTTTAATTGCAATGTATCTTTCTGGATGGAAACACTGCTGACCTTTTTCTTTATAAGGACTCAGAACACTTTCTTGAAATAGCAAAATTCTTGCTGTGAAATGTTAATAGGGCTGCTGTTTCAGTTTGCACATTTAGTTCTGTTAAAACACTGGAGCTTTGGTGTGAGAAAAACAAACTGAGAATGAGGGTTTATTTGAAGTGTGAGTATGAAAACTGGGCTTTTGCTTATATCACATTAAGGGTGCAACCCTAAACACATTTACAAGCGAGTAATCCCCATGGAACATAGAGGGACTCACTTCTAAGTACAGTGGTGCCCCACTAGATGCTTACCCTGTGAAACGACTAAATCACTTGACAGTGCCTTTTTGCGATCACTATAGCGATCGCAAAACGATGTTTCCTAGGGTTTTTTCGTTTAATGACGATTAGGTCCCTGCTTCGTGAACCGATTGTTCGCAAGATGATGATTTAAAACAGCTGATTGGCGGTTCACAGAATGGCTTTCCACTGTTTTCCGGACCTATTTCCACAAGACAGGGATTGCAAAATGGCCGCCCTAATACTTCGCTAATCAAGTATTTCCCCCATTGGAACACATTAACCGGTTTTCAATGCATTCTAATGGGGTTTTTATTTTTGCATGATGACGATTTCGCTGTACAGCTATTTTAATGGAACGCATTATTGTCATGTGGAGCACCACTGTAAATATGGAGAGCCTTTCCTTATAATGTAGCCCCAGAGCTGTTTCTTAGTATGAGGTTAAACATAGAAATCTTGGAAGAATTGTTGTCTCTAGTTCCATATATGAAAGTGAGATGAAAACGAGGTCTGAAAATCAGGGTCAAGACAAGCCCATTTTCCCTAATGCAGGAAGTGTGAATGTGTGCCCCCCCCAAGTTATTGGACAGTAACACCCATTATGCCTTACCATTGGCTATTCTGGCTAGACCAGGGGGTTGTAGTCCAACAATGTCCAGAAGGCCACATGATTCCCAGCCCTGTCTTAAAGGAGTGAGCCTCCTAGCTTTGGGACTGGACTAATACTAAATCCCAGACTAAGTCTGTCTTCTTCTGCCTGGATGGATTAGAGAAGCCTTCCCATAATCTGGTGCCCCCCAACATGTGTAAGGAAGGCTTCAACCACCATCATTCCAGCCAGCATGAGGGACAATGAGGATTTTAGTACCAACACTATAGCAGAGGTGGAGTACCTTTGGACCGCAACTCCCCTCAGCCCCATCCTACATGGCCAGTGTCCATGTCAAGGGGCTGTGCACAAAAGCATCTGAGGGGCTAGATGTTCCCCACCCTTGCAGTCATTGTGCATACTTACGGTACTTAGAAGTCCACTGAGTTCAGTGTGGATATTTCCCAACTTCAATGTGCTTAGGGCTTCATTTGGACTCAGAAACTGACTTGGGAAGAAGATGTTGGTGAGCAGTGAAAGAGTGGCAACGTTGGGGTCCCCCTTTCTTAAAGGAGGGAAATTGAATCCTCTGGGTTCAATGTCCCATCTCCACTGAGGATTTCTTGCTGCTTTTATAAGTGTGAGTTGATGAAGAGTTGATGACTCTTACCATTTTGCAGGGCTTGACAAAGATACTTTGTGGATGAGAATTCCCTGAATCATATTCTTAGGGCTTCAGTGGTTTTTAAAAAACCAAAACCTCTGCCAAGCCCTTTCCTTTTGCCTCAAGAAAGGCAGCGCAGGGCCTGTGAACTCTGGTTCCTTGAAGTGGCTTCTTTGTTCTGTCAGTAATAGTTATGACCACTCTGTCCTTCTCAGGCCCTCAGGCACATCTAAAGCCTTGGCTACCACACAGAAACCTGTTTAAGGGCTGATTTCATTCTTGGCAAAGCCTCTGAAGCTTTAAAGAGATTTGTACTGGATAGGATACAGAGGAGAGAGCCTGGCTTATGCAGAGGGACCAGGTGGCTGTAGCCTTTTCCTTCAAAAATTTAAATTGCTTTTGTTTTCTAGAGTCTTTCTGTTTAAGGACACTGAATTCAGGAGCATCATTAAGGCAAAAGCCCCTTCTCCCAGTCCTTTTCTTATAACTGTGATAAGAAATCTTTGGCTCTTCAAATATTTTGGATTAGCATTCCCATGACCCTGTACCCAATGGCCATGCTGCTTTGGGCGCTGAAATCCCAAACATTTGAAGGCAAACATTTCCTCACCTGTGATTTTCCAGCTGGAACATGTCCATGGGATTCTTTGCTTTCCCGCGCAAAAATAAACAAAAAAAAAGTCGAAGTCACTGTTTACTTTGAGTGATGGCCTGACTAGCCTCAGTTAAGCCCCAGATAGGCAGTCCATCAGGCTGGGGCATATTGTTCTTTATCAGCATCTCCTTGTTCATTGTGGCCCTCTTAAGACACTTGAGCCAAGCAAAGGAGTGAGTGCGTGTGTTTAATTATGGGCTGGATAATATCCTGTGTGTTGGGTAGGGTCCAAGGTTTGTTAGGAAAAACCACGGATGTCAGTATTTTGAACTCTCTATAAATGGATTTGCAGTTTTACATCATTTGCTTGGCTTTTTATTTTTGGAATGTGTATGTGTGTTCTAAACCAGCTTTTAATAAGGGGTGATTCCCTATTTACTTGCCAGTTCCCCTTAACAGTACTTTCGCTGTAAAAATACCGGCTTATTTACAGACCAGTGAAAAATGCACCAGAATCTTCTGTCTCTTTAATGGCACATTTTCCCCAAAAAACATCCCTCCCCATAATTCTCTGCCATTTCCTCACAAAACAAGTGGCGAGGCGAATACTGTGCTACAAAGATTTGTCAATTTCATCACAAAAAAGCTCCATCTTTCTGCCTAAAACGACCAGGAGAGGGGTGTTCTCAGATGTCTGTACAGGCTTAAAAAATTAATTCAAAATGAACCCAGCTCAAAGGACAATACTTGCCCAGGCCATCCTGTGCCCAAGTGGTAAGGGCTTGCTTTTAGCATCTCCCACTTTCCTTCAGTATCAGAATTGCAAGGAGCTCGATAAGACATCTTTGCCTTCAAGGGAGAAGTCCAACATGTGTAACTTTCCCCTTTACTGTAGGTATGAAAGGAAAAGGTGTCCCTGGAGAAATCCTAGCTTCTGTGCAACACTCAGATTTGCTACCATTCTTCTTGCAGCTGGGTCCTACTGTAGAACCTAGCCCTCCTGTGAGACATGGGTCAAAATATCATTTCCGCCCATCCCTTTGCAGGAGATGTTTCTTCTCTTTACAGTATCTCTGCAAGAAATCCCAAGGACCAGCCTGTCTTTTGTTTTTTTAAACTATGGCCAGTTTAGCTTCTTAAAAGTTAACATAGTTGAACAAGAAGTGGAAATTGTCACCAGCAGCTTCTTCACAAGAAAATTGATGGGTAGCTGCAGCCTCCTTGTGGAGGTTGTCAGTCTTTACAGTTCTTAGAAATTAATGAAATGGGATGAATCATCAGAACTGCGTACAGACAGAAACAGGAAATGTTGTGGCATACTTTTTCCCATTAGAGAGACTGGCAAGCTTTTTGATTGGAACTGGAGATAGCCCTCAGGAATCCCCTTCTCTCCAGACTGTGGTGGCGCTGTGAAGTGGGGGTGGGGAGAACAGAACTAGAGTACTGTATATCCTCATTAGGGCGCTAAACCCCTCCACTGCCAAATTCTCCTTATGCTCCTAAGGAAACTAGGTTCTGTATGCTAACTGTTTGCACACTACATTTCTAAACAGGTATGAAGAACAACAGTGTAAGTTCATATACAGCTTGGCCTGTCAGCCCGCGGCATCTTTGACTTGCAGCTTCTCTCTTGTAAAGCAAAGCAAAGTTGGCTGCTTATATACCATCCCATAGCGCTTCAAGCACTCTCTGGGTGGTTTACAAGTTAATTATGCAGGCTACACATTCTCCCCCTCCCCCCCGTGAGCTGGGTTACATATATTTGAGTCATAGGCCATTGGGTTTAACAGATTAATCAGTACAGTAACAATATTGCCAAGAAAGGGAGCAGGTTTGGAATTTTGCTTTTACTTTTATGAAAGAAAAAACATTTTGTTGCTGACTGCAAGAAGGCACTTGAAAGAGCTGTAAGGATGCTTTGTTGCTTTGGGGGACACCCATGTTATGTTTGGGTACTCAGTGTGATGTAGTGGATATAGTGACAGACTAGGACTCTGGAGTCTAGGGTTGAAATGGTCACTTGGCCATGAAAGCTCATGGGAGGCGGGTTGGGGGGTGGGGGAGTGAAACTGGTAAACCATTCCTTAAATCTCTCTCTTGCTTTGGAGGCTCTTTTGAGGTCACTATAAGTTGGTTCTGATTTCACAGCAATAAGTAATGTTCACATAACTAAGTAATGTTATGTTCAGCTCAGAAAGTTCTTCCAGCTCTATTGTAGCTTGTAAATCTGAAAGATATTATATAGAACAGATCTGCAGCATTTCCCTTGCCATAAAGAAATTGGTCATACAAAATACTTTGAAATTTCCAACTGCTTTATGTACATCACAGTAAGGACGATCATTCACACAGGACAAGTTCCCAAAGAGCTATGAACAGGAACTCTTGCAGACTTTAAAGGGTGTTTGTGTGTGTATGTGTGTGCTTGATCAGACAGGCATTTGTCCTGCTATTTGGTCTACTGTGAGGACAGTTTGGTTTGCTCTTTTCCAGCGACCACACAGTGTAATCACTGAAGCGAACTAAAACCACTTCAGAGCAATCCTGCCCACACTTTTTGATGCCCAGTCAAGGGACTTTTTTTGTTCTGCTTTGTTGTGGATAGGATCACTCTGGTTTGGTCCATTTTCAGCATGTGTGATCTCTGGGACCAAAAGTGAGCCTTCCTGGATGTTTCTTCCATTTTTAATTTCCAATATTGTGAAGTAGCTTAATAAGCAAGCCACTTCAGGATACTGTATTGGCAAATTGAATACTGAGCAGAAGGGTAGGAGAAGTGATTTAAAAAAACTAATAGACCATCATTGATGTTCTGAATCACTTAAAAACAAAGACAAAATAATATTTTTATTAGTTTCTCTTTAACAACCAGTCAAGAAACGGCCCAGTTTCTCATTTGGCACTTTAGACAAACCAAAGTATTAATTCTTTTTTTAAAAAAGTAATGCAATGTTTCAGCAATAGTCTGCTCGAATCGTGTGTTTTTTAAAAATCTCTTCCCCTGCCCCCTCTGCCAACAAGCAGAGGAAGTGTTCAATTTGCTGGTATCCTGCAGTGGCTCACTTATTAAGCCATTTCATGATGTCAGAAGGAGCCAGGCCAAATAAGGTTGCTTGAGCTGTTTGGATGTGAAGATTGCACTAAGTGGCACATTGCACCTCCACCTGACCCCAGGCAACCTTATAAAGCCCACAGCAACCTCCTCCAAAAGAGCTAGGGTAGACTTGTCCAGAGAAAGAGAGAGAGAAATCAATCAAAGCAGCCATGGAAACATCTGGACTCACAGAAGATCAATGGCTTCTGTGCTTATCTTGTGGGACAACCCGCATGGAAGAGAGATTTCACTGAGGGAAATGATATGAGAATAAATTGTTACACATATAATCCAGTTATGCTGTATCATAACTGATACACTCCCCACAAAAACCAAAAGTACACTTAAGTACCCTAAATCAAGTTACAAGTGGCTATACTTTGCCCAGCAAGAGGGCCATGCACATCTCACAATATTGATGCAAAATGTGACCTACATATTTCGGTAGCCCAACTATTGTTTTCTGACAGACTTCAAAAACAGCCCTGTTACATCAGAGAATAATCTGGATGCTAGTAGAATAGAGCTAGATGTGGCTAAATGTGGCTGCATTTGTTTCGTCTTGACTATCCGAAGAAAGGGATAGTTCTTTGTGGTCTCTGTGGATGCACACTAATGGGTTTAATCTGCGCTTGCGCAGAGGTCTCCAGAATATTCTAGAGCTTTATGATATGTTCGTCAAGGACTGCCCCCCTAGCCCACTTGGCCCACCCGTCCTGGTAATTACCTCAGTTCCTTTTTGTTGCTGAGGTCTCTCGTTGAGCTCCGTTCGTCTTTCATCTTGATATCTGAGAAAAATTGTAAAGACTTTCAATTGATTCTACCAACTTCTATATATAATCAAGGGAAATTGTAAGAGACTTTTAAGCAATTTTCCCTACTGCCCCCCCTTCCCCGCCGTTTATGGCCCCTCTTCCCCCATTTAAAAGATGCACCTTGTGTTCCAACAAGGTCCCCCTTACAGACGGCCACGATCTCTGCATTTTTTGTTTTTTTGTTGTTTTTTTTGGTCTGGGAGAATCTCAACAGCCTTCTACTTGTCAATTCTGCAAGAACTTCACTAAACAAGCCCTTAAACTCCAGCAACAGCGTCTTAGATCATTCCTCTGGGAACGTTCCTTGCAGCCAGTCCCAAATATCTCAGCCCCCGAAAGAACCTCCAGGTGCAACTACTGCATCTCCGGCAGCTAACTAGATTTCCAAGACTAAACCGAAATCTAAGCCCAAGACTCCCAGTTCAACAAAGTCCATCCTGGTATCTCTTCTATTGTTTTCAGGACTGCTGCTCATCTTCACACCAAGGGTCCCTCTACACACACCGGTGTTGCCTCTGCTATTCTGAAATTGTTTTTTGTTGTTCTGACTTTTTTTGGGGGGTGGTGGTGGATATTTCAATAGATCATCCTGGTATCTATGTCCGTACATGAAAAGGGTATACAGTATGTTGCTGGATAAAATGAGTTGTTCGTGACCTGAGGCATTTATTATTACCACCTGCAGCAAGCAGAGCCAACTCTACCAAGCCAAAGTGAGGGAACAGCTGTTTCTGGGTGTCCTGAAAGGGTTGCAGACTTTTAGATATTTAGCTTATTGTTATTTTATTTTTACTGCCAGGGAAAGAGTTATTTCTGACCTGTGTTCTCTCAGGTAGTAAAGCAAACAGAATCATGACCAGCTTCAAATTCTGTTTATCTTGTCTCTCTGTGTCCTGATGCAGCCAATTCCCTTTGGACACTTGATCAGTTCTTTCAAGCAGAATTTCCTTAACATTCTTCCTCCTTTCAAGAAGAATCATTTAAAATTATCAGGAATTTTGATACATATGTTTAAAACCATATGTATCAAAGGGGCAATGAAAACAACAGACAGCACATCTACAAAAGTGCTTTTCTGCTGATTTATGGACTGAGTTATGGATGGATGCTTCTTTTCCTGCTAACAAGGCTACACACCAAAGCCTAAACTGGGCCAAAAATGGTACTATGGAATAGGAAGGGGAAATCCTTGGCCCTCCAGATGGTTTGGACTTCAACTCCCAAAGCCACATCCAGCGTAGCTGACGCTAGGGATTGTGAGTGGTTGTCTAGACCAGTGGTTCTTAACCTGGTGTTACTCAGGAGTTTTGGACTGCAACTCCCAGAAGCCTTCACCATCAGCTGTGCCGGCTGGGGTTACTGGGAGTTGCAGTTCAAAAACACCTGAGTAACAAAGGTTAAGAACCACTGGTCTAGACCACTGGTTCTCAACCTTGGGCCTCCAGATGTTCTTGGACTACAACTCCCAGGAGCCTTCACCACCACCTCTGCTGACCAGTATTTCTGGGAGTTGAAGTCCAAGAACATCTGGAGGCCCAAGGTTGAGAACCAGTGGTCTAGACTCTGGAGCATCTGGAGGGCCAGACTTTCCTCGTTCCCGATATAGAGGTTGCTGCCTATTTTTCTATGGCCCTCAAAGAAACTTGAGGTCGTCCTGCGCCCCTGGAGAATTTCGTCTTCCCCTTAGCTCTAATACAGTACCCTAAAGTCGGCGCCACTTTCTGCCGCCAGTACCGAGGAGTGCCTGTGGAGGGCGCGCTCTGCTTACCGTACCCACCGCTTCCCTTCACCGCCCCCTTACCTTTGGGCCAGAAGGGGAGTCGCCCTCGCGTCTCCGCCCCGCCAGCACAAGAGGTTCGTTGTTACAACTTCTCAGTAGGAGCCTGGCGAGCGGAAAGGCGGCTAAACTTTATTCTTTCGGAACCTTGCAAGGAAAAAAAAAGAGTAGAAAACGGCGCGCTAGAAAAGCAGGTGTCCATTTCGAGGTAAGGTTCGACCGGTTGGGGAAAGGGAGGAGGAAGTGCTGGTGGTGGCTTGTTTGCGGTTGTTTTTCCGGGCAGCGGGTCAGATCTGGACGCGGGGAGACGTGAGTCTTGTCCTCTTTCCTGGTCAGATTCCTTGTTCTTTTAGGTGGGTTCGTGGGCAACAGAAACCTTTGCATCTGGCTTTTTTAAAATTCGGATTGTTTCCCGTTCGCGAGGTTCTGGGCCACTTGGCAGGGAGGGTGCGCCTCGGCTTTGATCTTGGCGTTGCTTCGCTTCAGAAGCAAACTCCGCGCTCGGCTTCTTTCCCAGTGCCTCGCCCTGGTCTGCGCCCTCGGCCGTCTTCGCTCCCTTCATTTGCTGCCTTTGCAGGGGCGAATTCTTAAAAGAAGGAACCCGATACTCGTGTTGTCTTGCAGATCGTTGCCTTTTGTCCGACTGCTCAGGAGAACATACAAAAACAGACTTTGTGGTTACTGTACTTGTGTTAAGAACATCAGGGTTGTCACTTTGCTGGAAAGCCAAACCTCCTCGAATACGTTTGAAATCGCCTTCAGTGCTCACACAGAGAGGCTGCTTGCGTATTGATTCGGGAATACACTGAATTTGTTTAATCGGTTCATGCCCTATTTATTTTTATTTAGTTAGAGAGTTTCATTTGTAAGCCTCCTTTTCCCTGTAAGAGAACTCAAGACAGTTTGCAAGGTTAAAACAAATAAAATTTTAAAAAAATAAACAACACATTAAAAACAAATTGAACTGTCGCAATAATTAAAGCATTCTTTAAAAACAAGCGGAACGCTAGAAATCAGCATGCAGGGACTCGGTTTAAAAGTTTCATGTTAAAATTAAAGTTAAAAGCCTTCCTGAAAAGGTGGGTCTTCATCTGTTGACAAAAGGATAAAAGGAAGGGGGCAACCTAATCTCCCCGGGGGAAGAGCGTTCTACAGTCTGATCCCACCTCCGCCAATCTTTTTTATGAGACTGAATACAGGAAATAATTATGATGATCGAGCAATTAGGTGATAAGTAATCTAGCGCTAATTTCATTATGTGAGAAAGAAGCACCACCCCTTCCCCATTATTACAAGAACATAACACAACTCACCACGCAGGGAAAAATCCATTTGAATGGTTCCGGCTTGAAAAAGTAGAAAACCCGCCCCCCCCCCAAGCGGCAGAGAAAGAAAGCTGCTTTGGGAGCAAAAAGGGCTGGACCAGTTTGGTCAGCCTTTGTATCATGCGGTCAGTAAAAAATACTTTGAATTCACCCATTTTATAAGTGGAGCAAATCCTGCAGTATTTCACCATGTAATTGCAGCCACAGAAGCACTATTGCCTTGTGTATTCTAGGACTTGCTTAGCCTGATATTTCACCATGTACTTGCAGCCACAGAAGCCTTGTGTATTCTAGGACTTGCTTAGCCTAGATAGGGAAAGAATTTGTGATTGCAACTGGACACAGATTAGGTCCAAGTGGCTTTCTCAGTGAGAGCCACCTTGGCCTTCCTATGACATTCCTCGCCCAGTACCCTCACCTCACTGGGTAAAAAGGTTTACAGGTGTTAATATTATAGGGTAAGAGACTCGAGCACTTTCTCTACTATTGCAGAGATGCTTCTATTCCAGAATATAGGGAAGTTACTTTTTTGGGCTATAACTCCCAGAATCCCCAAGGAAGCATGGTTGAGGGATTCTGAAAGCCATAGTCCAACAGAGTAACTTTCCTGAGCACTCTTGTCTGAGGCACAGAAAGATGGGCGACAGCTAGCTAGCTGGCTGCCATGACGATTTTGCTGCCAATTTTTTTCTCCTTGGGTTGGTTTGTGATGGGTGTGGTACTGAGACCCATCAACCACCTTCACATGTACTTTGCCTGTACATGATGCCCCTCTCAGGATTCCCCCATCATCCAGAACGAGGTCAAATGAATAGAGAGGAATGGGCTTTCTTCATTACAGCACACTAAAGGTATGGTGCTGTTTCCAGGGAGATTTTTTTTTGTCTGTCTTCCCTGATCATATTTTGGCATTGGACAATAAGTATTATTTCCCCTCAGGCCCTTAGTTTAATTTGATTTTGACTCTGCTACACTTTCATGTTGCTTGTAGTGATTTTGGTGTTTTCATGGTTGGTTTGTTATATATGTGTGTGTTTAGCATTTGTGTATGTGTGTTTCCCTTTTGGCAGCTGTCTTAGAAATCGGTATAAATCCCTCAAATAAACAAATTAGACTCTTGATAACATGAGAGAATTAATTTATGGGCCTACTCAGTTTTGGGCCAGAGTGAGGCAGCTGCCTCAGACAGAAGTTATGGAGTGTCCCAGAGAAGACAGCAATGTATTGGAAGACAGAGCTGCCTTTGTTGTGTAGCCTGCCCTGATCCCTGCAAGCTAGCCTTTTGCAGCCTTCAAGGACAGTGGAAGGCTGTAGAGGATGCTATCCTGTCACCAGAGTTGGGAGTAATACAGTTAGTTAAATTGCCAGTCCAGTTAGCTTTCATCTATAGATGAAATGTTCTGGATGGACAGATTGGTTTTTTTCCTCTGGCAGCAAAACATCTTGGGCTGGCTCTTTCTGGGCTATACACAGCAATAAACAAAAGGAGAAAGAATTACAGCCTCTTCTTCTATGAGGAGTCAGAGAAAAGTATCCTCTTAACTCAAGTGAAACTTTCCCTAAACCCCACAGGGACAGGGGATGAGACAGCTGCTGACAGAAAGTGTGGTCTCTCAGAGGAAGGGAGGAATCCAAGCAAAACTTCATGAGAATTGTGTTGGTAAAAACACAGTGACATAATGGGTGGGGCAAGAACTGCGTCAGCGTCTCGGACATTGGTCAGCTGATGACAGCCGTTCCTTGGTTTTCCCATGAGTCTCTCCACGTGTCTGACACATTTATTTACATTCTGACTTCAAGCTCTGACATGCTCTAAATGTTTTCTATACCACCCTCCCCATACTATTCTAGTGCTCCATTACAGTCAAATTTACAGTTTGTTTTCCCCACCTCCAGTGGAAATCTACTGTTCCGTCCCTGGTAGCTCTTTACCTCTCCCCAGGTTCTTGCCTGTATAATGCATGGAATGAGGCTGCAGTCTGTACGCATACACTAGTACACATTAGGATTTATGTCAGATAGAGAAGACCTGTACAAGATTATACTCTTATGCCACTTCAACTCTTCTGCACACGTATTTGGATTTGGCTGGAAACCCACCCACCCCCACTCAATGTTGCTGTGGTTCCTTTGCTATAATCAGTTATTGCCATGTTTAGGGTAGGGTTAAGTCAGTTAAGATGTGTTAAGTTATCCACCAAAGCCATCTGGTTTTTAGTTGACTGATATAATTTGATGAGTCACAATGCACATTTGTGCATAATCAACTTCCTCCTAGGCTTCTTTTTGGGTTCACCACACATTGGATTATTTCAAAAGTTTTGGCTCGCTTCACTACTGGGAGAAGAGCACTTGGCTATGCACACACTTCAGGATGCCCTCGGACAAACTAAAAGACAATCCTTGAAGTCCAGCCCTACGACTGAGCAGAGTGAGGTGGTTGTCTCATGTTGCAGATGTTGGGAGGTGACAGCAAGGTTTTGGAAGACAAAACTATGTGTACCACTTGGCCCTCTCTTCACTCCCTGAATCATCCTGCATTCTTTAAGCGAGGTGGATGATTCTGTAGCCAGTGCTGAAGGAAGAAGATTCAGTGTTTGAAGATCAAGTGGGAGAGGATGCCATCTTTGTCTCAGACAGCAAAATGCCTTTGACAGGCCTTGCAAACCATACCCTGAGTTGGGACGTGTAAATTCTTCATGTCTGAGGCGAGGTTCTTCTTTTGGAACCTAGTGAGGGCCCTGCACTCAAGAGCCACTGTCCAAATATTCCCACCTCTGTTTTTAATCTTAAAGCAAACTTAAAACAGCCCACACCCTTCCTTCAGGGCCTAAGAGCACTCCAGGAGACTTCCCTAAAATTTTCAGTAGAGCTTTTCATCAGAATGAAGGCTTGTGGAGTGTACGTTCCTTGTTTGAAAAGTTATTAGCCTCTGAAGGAAGGCGTGTGAACTCCACAAGGAATATTTAAAACGAAAGTCAGATGTTCAGCAATTGCTGTAGCCTCAAGTTCTTCCTCATAGTTTTTTTTTTAATTGGGTTGTCCTGTCTTTCCTTCCTTCCAGCCTGATCAGTCCTTTCCAAGCAGGCACACCCTTCGGGCACCTGACAACATGTCTTGCTCTACCAGCTTGGTGTTTTATTAGCCCTTGCGTACTGATTCCTGTTGTGTACATTTTGCCATTCAGACCAATGAACTTGTTGAATAAGGAACTGGGAACTAGTAGCGAACTTCTTCTGAGGTGGCCCTCCAGAGGAGGAAGCATAGGAGTTGTAGCCCAACCCATCTAGAAGGTAAATGGGTGGAGGACATCTTCCCCAATATGCCTGCAGGATGTTAATTTGGGGAAAGGGCGGTTTAGGGTTTGATGAGACAGAAGGATTGTCCTGGATTGAATCAAAGTTTCTTATGGCAGTTCAGTTGCTGTTCTTATTCACATGGAATGTGTATTTATCCTGAACCATTTTTGCAACAAGAGTCTGCACTGCATCTCAAATCAATACATTTCTCATCAGGATCATAGGTCATCCACTCTCCTCCGTCATTAACCCTCTCCTCTTCCTCACCTCCTTTTAAAAAAACAATCTTGGCAAGTGGTGTGGCACTGAATTGATCTAACAGTTTGTGAAGCTGTAGTGCTTATCTGGTAGTGCTCAACTGGAAAAGCATGATTTAAAAATTGTTCAAAGGAGAGCAGAGAGGATGCTTCTGCTGTACAGGCATAGCTTTCAACATGGTGCAGTATGCCAGTTGAGCAGGAGGATCGCCTTCAAGTGGCTGCATCTTGTGTATCCTCTGAATTTTTAAAAAGTTATTTTCCATTTTTGTGTTAGATAAGCAGTGCAGTTCCTGTTAAATCAATTAAGTGCTGTGTAACTTGCCT